GCTTAAGCTGCAGGGGGCGGGGTGCAGGGGAGGGGGGGGGGTCCGCTTCTGAGGGGGGGTGGAGGGGGGGGGGTCCGCTCTGCAGGGGGGGGGTGCGGGATTGCAGGAGGTCGGGGGCTTTCCTCTGCAGGGGGGGGGGGTCCGCTCTTGCGAAAGGTCGGAAATAGGTCGGAAATAGGTCGGAAATGAGGTCCCCCCCCCCTCGGCAGAGCGAAGCTTGAGCGAGCTCAAGCCCACGCTCTCAGAAACAAACACGCCGGTCGCGGCTCCCGCTTGATATTTCCTCACAATGTATTGAAGAATCGCGCGCGCTCTCGGGACTTCCTCGCGACTTACCACTGAATCGCGGCTCCCGCCTGATATTTCTTCACAATGTATTTAGATGCTGTTCCTCGACACTCACGAAACGCGCTCCCGCTACATATTACCTGGCGGTTCAAGCAGAATTTACGCTTCAACGACCCGCCAGCTCGACCCGCCTGTCTAGGCTTGCCCGCCCGACCAGCCCGTTAGGGACTGCAGTCGCCGCTCGCTGCCCTTCGCCCGCCTTCGATGCCCCTCGCTGCCCGTGTTGGTTCCGCGGTCGCCTTCGCTCGCTGCCCTTCGTGGCCCCGTTGCTGCCCTCAGTGGCCCCGTCGCTGCCCACTGTGGCCCTGCATTATATGCCCTTCGTGGCCCCCGCTCGCAGTCGCCCGTCGTGGCCCCATACGCATGCCCTTCGTGGCCCCGCTGTCGCCCTTCGTGGCCCTCTCGCTGCCCTTCGTGGCCCCTTTGCTGCCCTTCGTGGCCCCGCTGTCGCCCTTTGTGGCCCCATATACGAATGCCCTTCGTGGCCCCCGCTCGCAGTCGCCCGTCGTGGCCCCATACGCATGCCCTTCGTGGCCCCGCTGTCGCCCTTCGTGGCCCTCTCGCTGCCCTTCGTGGCCCCTTTGCTGCCCTTCGTGGCCCCGCTGTCGCCCTTTGTGGCCCCATATACGAATGCCCTTCGTGGCCCCCGCTGGTTCGCGCCCGTCGTGGCCCCATATGCATGCCCTTCGTGGCCCCGGTGTCGCCCTTCGTGGCCCCCGCTGCTGCCCTTCGTGGCCCCGTTTCTGCCCTCAGCGGCCCCGTCGCTGCCCGCTGTGGCCCCGGATTAATCGCCCTTCGTGGCCCCCGCTCGCTCGCGCCCTTCGTGGTCCCATGCGCATGCGTTTCGTTGTCCCGCTGTCGCCATTCGTGGCCCCTTCGCTGCCCGTCGTAGCCCGTTTTGTGCCCTTCGTGGCCCCGCTGTCGCCCTTTCTGGCCACAGATATGTATGCCCTTCGTGGCCCCCGCTCGTTCGCGCCCGTCGTGGCCCCATATGCATGCCCTTCGTGGCCCCGCTGTCGCTCTTCGTGGCCCCCTCTCTGCCCTCTGCGGCCCCCTATACGTATGCCCTTCGGGGCCCCCGCTCGTTCGCGCCCTTCGTGGTCCGCGCCAGCAGTGGCTCCCGCCTGAATTTATTGAAGAATCGCGCTCTCGCTGGGGGGTATAAGTATCCTCAGAAAAGCATGTAAAATTGAGGAGTACATACCAATCCATGTTCAGCAGCAAGAACTGCTGGTAGTGTCACGCACTACACGTACGAAAGGACTGCATCAGCCGTCCCCTGTCGGAGACTGCCTCGCACGATGGCGCTCTCCAGCTCCATGTCGATGGAGCGCTGGTGGTGCTGCCTCAGCCTCCTGCTCCTCCTCAGGGTGGCCCCCTCCTCCTCCTCCTCCTGCTCCTCCTCCTCCTCGCTGCCCGTGTGGGTGGCTGCTGGTCGCTACCTCCCCCTCCTTTTCCTCCTCCACTGCGCGCGGCAGGGTGGCTGCTGTGGAAATCGCCGCCTCCCCCTCCTCCTCTACCTCCTCCGCCTCCTCCTGTGCGGCGCCCGCAGGCCCCGGCCGCTCGAGTCCTCTGCCAGCGTCCACTTGTAGAAGCAGATCTGCGTGCTGCTGCCGCCCGTCGCCGCCTCCACCCGGGGCGGACTGGCCATTGGCGCCCCGACCTGGCCGGTAGCGTTGATGCAGAATCGCGGCTCTGATGGCGGCCATCAGCTTGAGGTGCCGCTGAAAGTTCCGAATGGTCGCCGGGTCGTCAGCGACCGGCCACGCCATCCTCTGTGAAAGGGCTGACGTGGGCACTGTAGAGCCCAGACGGTGTAGCCTCGTGGCCGGGCAGCGTCAGAAGTCGTGCACCACCGTGGCGGGCTCCCGCGCGCAGCGCGCGCATGGAGGCGGCTGCCCCTGGCCTGTGTCGTGCGCCCTGTGGTTCATGTAGATCCGAGCATCAGAATGAACGGCGCCAACAAGAACTGCGATTGCATGTGGATCTGGTGCTGCCCGCATAACGGCGTGTACCTCCTTCAATACCTTTTCAGGAAACTGCACTCCCTCAGCTCGGGCCATGTGGGCCTCCCTGCGGGTCTGGCCCTTGAAAGCCTCCCACTGTGAGCAGCGCAAGGCGCGCCGCAGCATGTGGAACCGAGGAGCGGCCAGCGTCGATGTAGAAATCTCGTCACCAGTCATGTTATGCTTGAACATCATGATGGGTCTGCCTCCGTCTTGTTCTGAGTCGATCAGCAACCAACCCAGCAACGACATGTAGTGAATGAGCGCTGAATAGACACCAGTGTGCCTGCAACCGTGCTCCTGCCACCTTCTCAAATCCTGGTCCACGCCCGCCTGGCCCTTGCGAGTGAGCCTGGCGTCCATCACGAACCACAGCCGGCGCAGAATGGCGTAGAGGACGTTGGCGTTGTGGCCCAGGACGACCATTTCCAGCAGGTGAGGTGAGCCTGAGGACCATCACCTCTTGCCGGTGAGGGTGGAGAGTGCCGATCCGCAAAGCAGCCGTGCCTTTTTCTGCGTGCTGAGTGGCAGCTTTCTGATGTTGTATGCTCTAAAGGCATACGTTGCGATAGACTGCCTCTCGCGCTGGCTGAGCGTCTTCCGTGGCGTGAGGCCCACGCCCAGCAAAGGTACCGCCCCGGCTTTCTGTAGCTGCGGAGGCACGGCACTCGCCGGTCGGCGCCCGCCCCCCCCAGCTGCGAGTTGGGAAGGCGCAGGGGCGTCGATGCCGTCGACGGCGAGGCCCACGGGCATGCCCCGCGCATCCAGACGATAGAAGATGCCCTCGTTGTCCGTCTCGTCTGCCTCCGCTGCATCTGCGTCTGCCTCTGCCTCTGCCTCCTCCTCCTCCTCCTCTGCCTCAGCCTCCTTGTCTGCCTCTGCCTCCTCCTCCTCTGCCTCGGCCTCCTCACCTGCGTCTGCCTCTGCGTCTGCTTCCGCTTCCGCTTCTGCCTCCTCCTCCTCCTCTGCCTCGTCTGCCAGGGCGCCTGCCTCCTGCTGCGCTGCGGCGGCCTCCCGCAAGGGAGGTGGCGGTCGTGCTGCGGGGGTGCCTCTCCTCTTTTTCTTGCGCGCCGGGCGCCTGCCGTCCCAGCCGCCCTCGTAGGCAAGCCAGCAGCCAGTCCTGCCGTTCACGTACATGTCACACTGCTTCGCCTGGTTGGACGCCATGCCAGTGACCGTAAAAAACACACAAATTTAAGGGTCATACCGTCTTTGGACGCACACGTCTCACAATCTTTGTCTTTGTTTTCATCTTTCCTCGAAAAATCATTGCCTTTTGTGAAAAAAAAATCAACAAAGCGACGCCACATCCCGTCGATGAGCTGGATTGTGCTAGAATCCTCCGAGGCTGCCGCCCGGTCGTCTGCGCAGACGCTGAGTACCGCCTCCGCACGCTCTCCCAGAGACCCGACCGCCCGCCACACCACTGGTGCCATCAGCGTGGCCATGGCCACCATGGAAGCTGGATCCCCTTGCGGCAGTCAGGGCGTGATTTACCTCCCCCGCTTTCGCTTCCAGGCAAAACCAAGTCATACCACGCGCCTCCTCGTCAAGAGGCCTGACCAGTACGGCTGCAATTTGGCGTTGCTTGGTATCTCTTGGAAGCGAGGGTGGTCAAAAGCGAGGTAGGTTTGTTTGCGCCCTAGGCAGGGAGTTCCTGACCTCGAAAGGTGTAGGATGAACCACTCCAGCGAGCTCACAATACCTGATCTGTCGTCTCCACGTGCGAGTGATCGATGTGACCAAAAAATCTTCCACGCCAAGGGCCCTCCATAGCTCCTCTGCCAGCGCCGGCGAGACGCTGTCGAAGGCGGCCTTGAAGTCCCAGAGCCGGACGTAGACGCACCCGTCCTCGTCCGCAAGGGTTTGCTCGATCCGGTCCAAGATGCCATCCAACAGCGACTCCAGAGTCCGCCCTGGAATCCCGCCGGCCTGGCAGTGGTGGAATACAGGCATGAGGTAGCTGACGATCTGATGCGTGCGGATACGCATCCACCAGCGCCACGCCGCCGAAGATATGGCGATCGGTCTGAATCTGTTGAGTTTGTGGTCAGTATGCGTGTCCTTCGGGATGTGGATCTGTCGCCACTGCACCCACGCCTGCGGGAACTCCGTCTGCTCCGCCAGGCAGCACAGGTCTGCCAGCTCAAGAAGTGCTTTGTCTGGCAGTACCAGCAGCTCGTCTGCGCTCCACAGATCGATCCCCGCGGCCCTGCCCTTCATCGGCTTGAGGGCCCGGCGCATCTCGTGGATGTTCGGGTGAGCCCATCTAGCTGCCTGCATCGCCGACGCAACGTCATGTGGTAGACGCTCGCGTGCTGCTGCGATGCGACGCTTCATGAAAGCGATCTCCTCCGCATACTCCCTCAAGAAGGCCTGCGGGTCAGCTCCACCCCGCATGCCGTCGAAGTGCTGCTTCCAGAAATCGGCCAACACCTGCATCGCCTCAGCGCCGTACACCCACCAGAGGTCGGGGGGTCTGTCTCCTCCTCCTTCAGCTTCTGCTTCACCTTGCGCTCCTCCTCCTCCTCCTCTGTCGCTGCTTCCTCTGCCTCCTCTTCCTCCTCCTCCCTCCTCCTCCACCTCCCCACTGCCCTGGTCGGTGTACGGCGCCAGGAAAGAGCACGAAGGTGAGGAATGCGCCGCTCCCTTTACCCACCGGTACACGTAGCCGCGCATGTCGTTCAGCTTCCGGCGCCAGGCGGCCAGTCGCTCGTTCTCTTCCTTCGACAGCATGTCGCGCAGCCGCTTGTCGGCAGCCTTCCGCCTTGCCCGAAAAGCGGCGTCGGAAGGGAGGGCGAGCCTCCGGCGCAGGGTGGCCTCTTCTTTCTGGAATTGCTGCCGCTCTGCCCATGACCTCCGCGAGCAGTCCTCGTCCAGGGCCACGTGCCAGCGCAGCATGTCCTCCTCCGGCGAGAGCTGCAGGCTGCTCGGCAGGATGTCCGACGGCTTCGGGCGCTCCCGAATCTTGGACTGGTGCTTCCAACCCTTGGCGGCCGGCGTGTCCGAGGCAACGCGCAGAGCGCTCTCTGCCCTTTGCGTCCAGGACGCCCACCATTCATCTGTAGAAGTAAAATCTGTCTCTGCCTTCGATTGCCACGAATCAGCAACCCGTGCTGTCCAAGCTGCTCTGTCCTCCTCTTCCTCCTCCTGTGGCGCCCGGTATGGGCGCGGCCTTTCCCATTGCATGCCTCTGTCGATCGTGAGCCCCGAAGCGGGGATGTTCATGTAGACGAGGCAGTGATCTGCAATCGGAACATCAGAGACTGTTGCGCGGAGGCCCCCACGAGCCCGCACCACGAAGTAATCTATGTTACGATTCCCTTGGCGCCGGGTCGGCCGCATGCCTGCCACCACGCGGAAGCTGCCGCCACACATCTTTTCCATATCGACCCGGTGCGGGAGCTCGTTGAAGTCACCCCCCAAGAAAACGGTCTGGTCGGAGTTCCACGTGGCCAGTACTCCTTGTATCCATTCCTCCAGCGCCAGCTTTTCAGCATCGGAGGAAGCTGACCGCCTGTGCACGTTGCCCACGACAGTGGTGAAGGAGCCGGCCGTTACGACGCCGATGGCCGCCTCCCCGCCGGGCATGCGCGCAGAATCAATCAAACGAAATTGACAGTCATTGTGAACAAGAAAGCAAAGCCCACCGACGCATTCCCGTGAAGCCGAGTGGTGGACGCCTGCCTCCTCTGCCCATGTGCCTCTGTAGAGAGTAAATCTGGACTGGCGCAGCGTGGACTGCTGAGTAATGAGCTGCATCTGTGTCAGGCGACACTCCTGTAACATGACGACATCACACTGGTGCTGCACAGCCGCGTTGAGGAGAGCACGGCTGTGAGCGTGCCAAGAACTGACATTCGCAGTGGCGAGAGTGAGCTCGCCAGCCTCGTGCGGCGCGGCGGCCGCCTCCGCCTCAGCATCGGGCGGCGGCCCTTGCGGCCCTTGTCCACCTCTTGACCTGCTGCGCCACCGCCTTCTTGGTGAAGTCCCCGTCGCTGAGGCTGTTGATGGCCGCGACCGTCTGCACCACCAGGTCCTGGATCTGCTGCGGCTCCGTCGCGGCCCGCGTCTGCGCGACCAAGTCCGCCGCCTTGGACAGCGTCTCCCACTGCTGCGAGGACATGGGCGTGCGACCCTGGTCCCAGAGCTCCTTGAGGGCGGTCCTGTCTGCCACTGTGGTGTGATGCCACTTCCAGAGGTGGTTCTCGGTGCGCCAGATGAGGCCCCCGTCGGCAAGGCCCTGGCATCGGAAGTTCGCGACCTCCTCCCCGTTGCGGCACATCGGCCACACGCCGAAGCAGTGAATGCACGTGCGCTGCCGCGACGGCGCTCCGTTCAGGTGCGTCCGGCCGGCGGGGGACTTGTTCTGCTCCTTGCCCCAGATCGCCGACCCGAGCTCCACGACCTTGAAGTGGTGGCCGTTTACCTGTCTGTCGTGCCATTTGGACACAGTCCGTTCCTTCCACATAGCCTCCACGCCGATCAGGCAGTGGGCCTTCTGAGTCGCAGACTGATTGAAACCAATGCTCTTGTTCGAAAAACTGTCATACTCCAACTCGTCCTTGTGAGCCGTCGACCAGTGGTGCCGCAAAAGCCGCGTGCGCACGGGCTGGGTGAGCAGCGGGGCTGCGGTGGCGACGTCACACCCAGGCATCGGACACGACCACGTGCGGACCTCCTTGGGGATGCCGGTGGCCAGGAAGGCGTCCGTGTCCGTAAACAGAGTAGGCATCTGCACGTTCTTGGTGACGTACAACCGCGGGATCTTCTTGACTGCGGGGTCCCCCCGGTGCTTCGCATAGATGTGCTGCCCCTTGTTCGCCCTCAGCAGGTCGAAGTCGAACCGAACAAACTGTTTGTCGCAAATCGGGCACACCCAACTGAATCTCTCGACCACGCTCCGCCCAGGCTGGGGACTTCCTTGCAATTTACCGCCGAATCGCGCCTCCCGCCTGATACTTCCTCACAGTTTATTTGAGAATCGCGCTCTCGCCTTGGACTTCCTCGCAACCATACGACGCATGCCCTTCGTAGCCCCGCTGTCGCCCTTCATGGCCCTCTCGCTGCCCTTCGTGGCCCCGCTGTCGCCCTTTGTGGCACCATATACGAATGCCCTTCGTGGCCCCCGCTCGTTCGCGCCCGTCGTGGCCCCATATGCATGCCCTTCGTGGCCCCGCTGTCGCCCTTCGTGGCCCCATGTACGAATGCCCTACGTGACCCCCGCTCGCTCGCGCCCGTTGTGGCCCCATATGCATGCCCTTCGTGGCCCCGCTGTCGCCCTTTGCGGCTGGCGCAAGCCATGGCGCAAGCTGAATCGCCACTCACAGCGCAAATCATCGTCCTCCCTCTTTTTTGCCCCTCCCCTCCCTTCCTCCGATCCCTTCGTCCTTATTATCCCCCGTTCTCTGTTACCCTTCGTTTTCAAGGGCTTCACCGACCACACGTGGCACAATGACTATACCCCCCAAAAGGGGGTACGATCGAAGACGAAGAGGGCGGGTATCCGGGGTTTGGGGTATGCATTCTGAATGACACGCGAGCAGATAAGAGCGAACAGTCTTGAGCTGATGGTTGCTGTTGTTGTTGTTGAATTCTCACTTCTGAAGAATAATTATTATTGTTCCCCCCCGTGTGGTGCACATTGTTTTTTCGATTGAAGTGCCTTCCCGGGGCTCGCACCCTGTTTTTTATCAGGGAAAGTCTTGAAGGTCAAACTGTGTCGTTGGCCCCCGGCTTACAACAACAACAACAACAACAACAATCACTTTACCCGAACGCTCAGTGTTCTCACCAGTGCCAGGGTTTTCATGCGACGCCAGCCAATACCCCCACTTTGTGGGGGGCAGTGCAAGCTCTACCAAATATCCACACGACTCTTCGCCACCACCCACACCCAGCTTCCCGCCCTATGACGTTCGGACACTTCACTTCGTGGCCTGCGGACGACCGTGGCTACTACACTGGCGTGGAGTACACACCCACAGAAGTTGTTAAGCCTACGTTCGTACACCCACAGAAGTTGTTAAGCCTTGTTAACCCACAGAAGTTGTTAAGCCTTCCACAGAACATCTGTTGCATATGATGCATATGGTACATGATACACATGATACACATGATACGTACTCACAAGATAGATTTCGGCGTGCGCGCGCGAAGAAAAAACGAATGTGTCCCGCATGGTATTATTTGACAGGGATGATGGCCCTGGCAGGTGCGCAACCGTTGTCGCAGAAGTTCGAAAAAGTTGCTCGCAAAAGCCCGTTTGACAGAAATGTTTAAAAAGTGTTGGTTTCCTACGAATCCGCAAGAGCGCGCGGGATGAGATTTTGACATTTTTTTGTTGAAAAACCATTGGTTTTTTGATGTTTTTATGTTAAAATCGCTCCGAACACTAAGCTTTTGGAAGGATTTCGTCTTGCGCGCGCGAATGTCCACTTTACCTTATTTTTTGCAAGGGATTCTTGAAATTTGATTATATTAGAACAAGAAATGTCATTTTATAGTGTTTTTTGCAAGGGAAAACGGATTACAACAAAACAACCGGATCTTGATGACATCGTATTACCTGAGGCTTCCTCACGAAAATGATGAAAATGTAGCTGCGGCCTAGGCGGCGCAGGGGGGCCGTGCACCAGGGGTCCCAACAATAATTATTCTTTAGAATTAATAATGTTCAACAACAACAACAACAACAACAACGGCTCCCGCTCCCGCCCAAGATTTCATCGCGTTTTATTCAGGAATCGCGCTCTCGCTTGGGACTCCCTTCGGATTTATTCTCCCGGCGCTCTGGAGTCGCGCTCTCGCTGGAGACTTGCTTGCAATTTGCTGAGGAATAGCGCCCTTGCGTTGGAACGTCTTGCAATTTACTCAAGCGCCGCGCTCCCGACACCCAGGCACCCAGGAGTCGCGCTCACGCTTGGGACTCCCTCACAGATTACATCGGAATCGGGATCTCGCTGCCCTTCGTGGTCCCGTTGCGGCCCTTCGTGGCCTCCTCGCTTTGTTTCGTGGTCCCGTTGCAGCCTTTCGTGGCCCCCTCGCTGCCCTTCGTGGCCCCGTTGCAGCCCTTCGTGGCCCCCTCACTGCCCTCCGTGGCCCCGTCGCAGCCCTTCGTGGCCCCCTCGCTGCCCTTCGTGGCCCCGTTGCATCCCTTCGTGGCCCCCTCGCTGCCCTTCGTGGCCCCATATATGTATGCCCTTCGTGGCCCCCGCTCGTTCGCGCCCGTGGTGGCCCCATATGCATCTGTCCTACGTGGCCCAGTTGCTTGCCTTTTTGCGGCCCCGCATTATGATCCCTTCGTGGCCCCCGCTCGTTCGAGCTTTTCGTGGCCCCATAAGCATTCCCTTCGTGTCCCCGCTGCTGCCCTTCGTGGCCTACTTCGTGTCCTTGTGGCCCTCCTGCCGTTCTCTTTCGCTCTCGCTTTCGCTCGCCGTCGTCGTCGCCGACGTCGTCGACGTGTTGTTGTTGTTGGTGTTGTTGTTGTTGTTGTTGTTGTTGTTGTTGCTTTTGTTGTTGTTTTTGTTGTTGTTGCTGTTGTTGTTTGTTGTTGTTTGTTGTTGTTTGTTGTTGTTTGTTGTTGTTTGTTGTTGTTGTCGTCGTCCCACCCGCGACCCACCCCGCGCCACCCGCGACCCACCCCGCGACCCACCCGCGACCCACCCGCGACCCACCCGCGACCCACCCGCGACCCACCCCGCGATCCACCCGCGACCCACCCCGCGACCCACCCGCGACCCACCCGCGACCCACCCGCGACCCACCCGCGACCCACCCGCGATCCACCCGCGACCCACCCCGAGACCCCCCTGGCGACCCACCCGCGACCCACCCGCGACCCACCCCGCGACCCACCCCGCGACCCACCCGAAATTTTCGGCGCTTGCGGCTGGTTTCTCTTGCATTCGTTCTAGGTCGTTCCAGGTGGAGAACCTGCGACCCACCCGCGACCCAAACCTCGTTCAGTGTACAAATCAAAATTTTCGTCGCCTGCGGCGGGCTGTTTTTGAATTCCTTCCAGGTGGAGGTGGGGAGCCTGCGACCCACCCGCGACCCAAACTACGTTCACTGAACATGCCAAAACTTCGGCGCCTGCGGTGGATTCCTTTTGCATCGGCGACCCACTGGCGGCCCACCCCGAGACCCACCCGCGACTCAACCCGCGACCCACCCGCGACCAACCCGCGACCCACCCGCGACACACCGCGACCCACCCCGCGACCCAGCCAAAATTTTTGGCGCCTGCGGCGGGCTTCTTTTGCATTCGTTCCAGGCTTCTTGTGCATGCGTGAGGGCCACGAGGTCCGCCGGCTCGACGCCCGCGTCGCCCGTGCCCGCCCCTTCACTCTGATCCGCAATTACGGGGTGTTCCTGTATACGTATAGTTTGTTTGTTGCGCTCTCTCTCTCTCTCTCTCTCTTTATATCTCTCTGTCTGCTTTTTGTTTCTCTCTCTCTCTCTCTTTTTTTTTTTCTCTCTCTCTCTCTCTCTCCCTCTGCATCCTTCCCACGCCTGCTCGCCGATCTCTTCCCCTCCCTCCCTCCGTCCTTCCTCGCTCCTCAAGTAACCACCCAGGACTGAAGCTGCGGCTCTCTCCTCTATCTTTAAGTTGGGCATGTCTCTCTACAGGAGGAAGACTTTAACACAGTCCAAACATAGTATGGGGACGATATTCAGGCTGTTTTTTGTTTGAATGCTGGGTGACTATGTTTCATTTTTCTTCCAACATCCGCCTGTAGGAGAACATGCAACATGCCCGATCTAAATATATCTCCGTGATTGGTCGCGCTCGCGTGAGACGTGGGCGCCGCTCCCTGTGTCAAATGAAGGATTCCTTCGCCAGTCTAGCCAGCCTTATATGGTTTCCATTACCGCCTAGCCCTCGATGTTTCAATTATGAGTGTTCTTGCATTGCATTGCATTGCATTGCAGAGGAAGAGATGATTGCGGGTAGGTGGCGGGTCGGGCAATGGATCCGTGGCCTATTTCTTTCCAGAGATTTTGAGGTTCAGAGGCCGGTGCGGTCGCTGGCACACTACGTTGTTCGCGATATTGTGGTTGGGGTCAGCCGGGGTGAAGCACAGGCAGTGCATTTGAAGGGCCAGCGTCTTCTTGGTTCACCTCCATATACTGTTGCCCATATCGTAAGCAAGCAACGTGCGATTGGCGATCAACCCTGATGTCGAGGGAGATTCCCGTCGAATGGCTCAAGACCGTCCGATAATTTGCTGCATTGCCAGCCCTTTCAACTGCGAGAGGGGCTGGCTTTCTGGAACAGGTCAGGCACAGGGTCCGGCTTGACTAAAGAACATCACTTTTCAAAAGGGGCTCGGTCGTTCCTTTGGTTTGCATGCGTTCCGCTACCTCTTTTGGCGGCGAGCCCCCCTGGTGTTCCTTCGGACTTCGTGGACTTACTTGGAACAAAAAGGATTCGTTCCGTACTTGTCGTTCCCTAGGTCAGGCCGACTGCTGCAAGGCTTCGGGCGCGGCGCCTCTGCAGCTCGCATGTCGCGAGGGCGCGGGCGCGGTGCACCGGCCCACCGTGCGCTGCGGTGGCGCCGGCGTGGAGGCAAAGAGCTGCTCGGGGCTCCGCCTGCGGCCCCGCGGCTGTTCCGAGGGCTCTCGGACATGTCGCGGGCCAGCTGCGCACTCCACGGCTTCTCTGGCGGTGGGATGTGCTCAGTATCGTTTAACCGACCCCCATCCCCATCCTCCTCCTCCTCCTCCTCCTCCTTCTCCTCCCCCTTCGAGACCCCCACCAGATTACGACCCCAGTTGCCTGATCGTATCGCGGCCAGGTCTTGCGATTCATGTTTGTTTGCGATGTCATTGCCGCGGCGCGGCGAGTGAGCG